CTGAGTCCCCGCCCTCTCTCCTTGTCCCCAGCTGTCCCCAGGTGTCCCCAGGTGTCCCCTGGTGGCCGCGGGGACCCCGCCCGTCCCCCCGTGCCAGCAGCAATAGCAGCCACCGACGCGTTTGGAATTCATTTCGTTTTGAATTCATTTCTGTTCTCGGTACCAAAGTGAATTCTCTGTAGCAAAGCCGCAGCTCCGGGGCCCGGCGGGAGGTGGCACCTGGCGCTGTCCCCTCCCCTGCCCCGCGCTGTCACCCTCTGTCACCTTGTGTCACCCGAGGGGGGGCGCGGTGACAGCTCCCGAGCTCTGCTGGCTGGAGGTGACAGTGCCACCCCCTTGGGGACAACCGCACTGAGGGTGACAATGCCACCCCGTGTGGGGACACCCAGATGGAGGTGACATTGCCATCCTCCAGGGGTGACAATGCCCCCGCCCTGGGGACGCCCAGACGGGAGGTGACAATGCCACCCCCTTGGGGACACCCGGATGGAGGTGACAATGCCATCCTCCCTCATGACACCCTCGGAAATGTCACGGCGAGTGACAATTGCCACCCTGGTGGTGACACGCGCAGAAAGGACACCAGGAGGTGACAATTGCCACCCTCCATGGGGACACCCGCATGAGGCAGGTGACAAGTGCCACCCCATTATGCCACCCTCAAAAATGCCACGGGAGGGTGACAAGTGCCACCCCCGTTGGGACACCCGCGTGAGGAGGCGACAACTGCCGCCCTCCATGGGGACACGCCCAAAAATGACACTGGAGGGGGCTGTCCTCAGTGTCCCCACCTCGGTGTCCCCACCCCGGTGTCCCCACCCCGGTGTCCCCACCTCGGTGTCCCCACCCCGGTGTCCCCACCTTGGTGTCCCCACGCGGTGTCCCCACCTTGGTGTCCCCAAGCTGTCACCGATTTTGGGGCGGGGGTTGTCCCTTTTCCCACGCCCACGTTGTCCCCAGGCCGCCCCTCCCAGCTCGGCGTCACTCAGGGAGGTGACAGTGACCAACCCGGGGGTGACAGCGCCGGGTGAGGGGGTGGCGGGCCCCAGGCTGTCCCCAAGCCCCCCCCCGGTGTCCCCTTTTCCCGGCTGGTGTCCCCGTGAGCGTGATGTCCCCGCGTGCGTGTGCGTCCGTCCCCTTCATGGCATCGCGCTGATCCCTCGCTGAAGCAAGAAGACAAAAAACAACCAAAAACACCCAAAACTGACAACAAAAAGTTCTGGTTCAGACCAGGTTAAAAAAAAAAAAAAAAAAAATTTTAAAAAAAGAGGAAAACGTGTAAAAATGACCAAAAAAAAAAAAAAAAAGCCCAAAGCCAAGCGCTGCCTGCGTCGTGCATGAGCCGGAGGCGCCCGCTGCATGCGCTCCCCGCTTTACTCGTCTGGATGTTGTTTCAAAACAAACAAACAACAAAAAAAAAAGGCTACGACTCTGAAAGGACAAAAATAAAGGACGAACTGAGAAGAAAAAGCAAAAAAAAAAAGGAAAAACAAGGAATTTCTGGTTCTCCTTCGAGGCTGTTTTGGGGTTTCTACGTGTGTCTCTCTCTCTCTCTCTCTCTTCCGCATGAATTTTCTCGTGAACTGTTTTAAAAAGGAAATAAAAGGAACAAAAAGTACAAAAAAAAAAGAGTTGAAAATGGAGGGGAAAAAAAAAAAAGGAAAAAAAAAAGAAAAAAAAAACAAAAAAACAAACCACCAACAAAAGGGAGCAGTACAGACTGTGCTTGCAGATTCTAGACACTAAAAGACTCCCCGTAGCAAAAATTGAAATCCTGAGAAGTTAATGGTGTTAAGACATCTTGAGAAACACCTTTAAATTCAGCTGGTTTTACAGATTTACCATTGTCTCAGAGTAATAGTGTTTTATACGTAAGATTTTGTGATATATTTAACTTGATCCTAATCCAATGTTTTACATGCTGTAGAAAGTGAACAGAAAAAAATTGCATATTGGTAACTAAGGTCACAAACCTTGTAGAGATATGGAGATATATCTGCAAAGTTTTAAAGAGAAACTCAAACTAGATTCAAATGAACTAGCTCTGCTACTGGAAACAGTGTAGCCATGGCAGCAAGCAGTTCATGTCAGCTGTAAAAGCTGCTTGTAAAGGTAGGTAAATATTTGGACAACTTGCTGGCACAGAGTTCTTGTGCTACAACATGGGGACACCCAGATGGAGGTGACAGTGCCACCCCCTTGGGGACAACCGCACTGAGGGTGACAATGCCATCCCTGTGGGGACACCCAGATGGAGGTGACAGTGCCACCCCCTTGGGGACAACCGCACTGAGGGTGACAATGCCACCCCGTGTGGGGACACCCAGATGGAGGTGACAATGCCACTCCCTTGGGGACACCCGGATGGAGGTGACAATGCCATCCTCCCTCATGACACCCTCGGAAATGTCACGGCGAGTGACAATTGCCACCCTGGTGGTGACACGCGCAGAAAGGACACCAGGAGGTGACAATTGCCACCCTCCATGGGGACACCCGCATGAGGCAGGTGACAAGTGCCACCCCATAATGCCACCCTCAAAAATGCCACGGGAGGGTGACAAGTGCCACCCCCGCTGGGACACCCGCGTGAGGAGGCGACAACTGCCGCCCTCCATGGGGACACGCCCAAAAATGACACTGGAGGGGGCTGTCCTCGGTGTCCCCACCCCGGTGTCCCCACCTTGGTGTCCCCACGCGGTGTCCCCACCTTGGTGTCCCCAAGCTGTCACCGATTTTGGGGCGGGGGGGGTCCCTTTTCCCACGCCCAAGTTGTCCCCAGGCCGCCCCTCCCAGCTCGGCGTCACTCAGGGAGGTGACAGTGACCAACCCGGGGGTGACAGCGCCGGGTGAGGGGGTGGCGGGCCCCAGGCTGTCCCCAAGCCCCCCCCCGGTGTCCCCTTTTCCCGGCTGGTGTCCCCGTGAGCGTGATGTCCCCGCGTGCGTGTGCGTCCGTCCCCTTCATGGCATCGCGCTGATCCCTCGCTGAAGCAAGAAGACAAAAAACAACCAAAAACACCCAAAACTGACAACAAAACAAAGTTCTGGTTCAGACCAGGTAAAAAAAAAAAAAATTTAAAAAAAGAGGAAAACGTGTAAAAATGACCAAAAAAAAAAAAAAAAAGCCCAAAGCCAAGCGCTGCCTGCGTCGTGCATGAGCCGGAGGCGCCCGCTGCATGCGCTCCCCGCTTTACTCGTCTGGATGTTGTTTCAAAACAAACAAACAACAAAAAAAAAAGGCTACGACTCTGAAAGGACAAAAATAAAGGACGAACTGAGAAGAAAAAGCAAAAAAAAAAAGGAAAAACAAGGAATTTCTGGTTCTCCTTCGAGGCTGTTTTGGGGTTTCTACGTGTGTCTCTCTCTCTCTCTCTCTCTTCCGCATGAATTTTCTCGTGAACTGTTTTAAAAAGGAAATAAAAGGAACAAAAAGTACAAAAAAAAAAGAGTTGAAAATGGAGGGGAAAAAAAAAAAAGGAAAAAAAAAAAAAAAAAAAAAGGAATTATAAACATACTCCCCACAAAAAAAAAAAAAAAAAAAAAAAAAAAAAAAAAAAAAATAAAGGGGGGGAAAAAAAAAAAAAGGAAAAAAAAAAAGAAGAAAAATGTAAAAAAAGAAAAAAAAAAAAGCCTCGCACAGGGGAAAAGCGGGGGAGGGGAGGGAGGGGACGCCCCCGCCCTGTGCCACCCCCCCGCTGTGTCCCCCGTGTCACCGTGGATGCCATGGGTAGTTGTGTGTGACCGTTGTAATTCCCGTGACAAAAGGGTTGCTTTTTATTATTTTCCTTTTTCCCTTTATAATTTTTCTTTTCTATCAGAGTGTCTGGCTTTAATAAAATTACCTTTTTTTTTTTTTTTGGCCTCTTTTTCTGTCTTTTTCTGGCGATTTTCCCCCTCATTTTTTACCCCCTCTCCCTGAATGTTGAGAAATTGAGAATTGAGAAATTTGAGAAATTGAGAGATTGAAAATTGAGAATTTTGATGGGGATGGGGCATCCCCAGTTCTGTTGTTTCCTCCCCACAGGCTCAGAGAAAAATGAGATTTATCCTCCCGCGGATAAATCCAGGAATAAAAATTCCCAGCACCAGGAATTTGAGGTCCCTGCCCATCAAAAAAATTGGGAATTAATACCAGCAAAACCTTGAATAACCAGTTTATTTCCAATATATAGACTGGAGGTGGGGGGGCCAAAGCAGGGGGGATTTTTTGGGTTGGTTTGGGGTTTTGTTTTTTTGCAGTTTTGCAGATCCCGACGGGGCCGGGAATGGGGTGGGAAGGGGTTTGGGGGGACATGCAGGAGGGTTTTAAAAAGTCACCACTGGTCCAGCACGTCCCCTGCTCGGGGCTGGCCTTTCCGCTGAGCAAAACTTCTTAAAAAATCCTTATAAATCCTTTGGGATATGTTACACGGGCAGGGCCGGTATTTACAGGGGGAAACGGACAAAAAACGACCCCGAAAAAAATATCGAAAAGGAAAGAAAAACGAACTTTACAGCAAGTACTTGCATAACGTATGAGAACGACACGGAGAGACGGTGACAGGGCGCGACACCAGGTGGCACTTGTGTCCCCGCGTGGCCAGGCCGGGGGTCCCCAAACTCCCTTCCTAAAGTGCTTCTGGCCTGGGGGGCAGGAAGGGGACAGCCGTGGGAGGGGACAGGGACGTCCCAGGACGTGCCACACGCGGCTCGGGGCGGGGAAAGGGTGGCAGTGTCCCCCTCTGCCGCCGGGTGTCCCCCTCAGTGCCACCCCCTCCCTGGCTCCCCCCCTCAGCGGAGCCCCCCCAGGTGAGGGTGACAGCGCTGAGGTCCCCAAGGGACACCAGCACATGGGGAGGGGTCCCTGAGACGGGACCCCCAAGGTCCTCAGGGCATGGAGAGTCCCCAGGGTCCCCAGGGCAGGGGTCTGTCATCAAGGTCCCCCAGGGCAGGGGTCTCTGACCCTGATGTCCCCAGGGTCCCCAGGGCAGGGGTCTCTGTCATCAAGGTCCCCCAGGGCAGGGGTCTCTGACCCTGATGTCCTCAGGGTCCCCAGGGCAGGGGTCTGTCATCAAGGTCCCCCAGGGCAGGGGTCTCTGACCCTGATGTCCTCAGGGTCCCCAGGGCAGGGGTCTGTCATCGAGGGCAGGTGTCTCTGACCCTGATGTCCCCAACCCTGATGTCCCCAAGGTGCCCCAGGGCAGGGGTCTCTCATCGAGGTCCCCAGGGTCCCCAGGACAAGGGTCTGTGACACCGAGGTCCCCAGGGTTTCTGACAAGGTCCCCGGTGTCCCTCAGCACAGGGGTCTGTGACACCGAGGTCCCCAGGGTCGCCGGTGTCCCCATCCCGGGCAGGTCCCGGCCGCAGCAGCCGCGGCCCCAGGGAAGTGCCCGCACTTCGCTCCGCCGCGGCCGGGGACAGCAGGGCCACCACTGGGGACAGTCCCCTGAGCCTCCTGGCACGGCCTGGGGGCCGGGGCACCGCCGCTGCTCCCCAAAGCGGGGGGGACCAGGTGGCTCCGTCCCCCCACGGACCCGTTAAATAACACCGGCGGCTCGTCCGGAGCACAATTAAATACGGGGACAAGGGACAGTCCTTAAATTAAACACGGCCCGGGGGGGGTCACAGACACTGCGGGAAGCGCAGGGGCGCCGGGGGGCCGGGGCTGCCCGGGGGGCTCTCGGTGGCCGCGCCCGGGCCAGCCGTGCCAGGCGGGGCCGGAGCCGCGGGCCGCGCTTTGGTGGACTCCAGGCTGCTGAGCCCCGAGTCCTTGTCGCGACAGGGTCCCGGCGTCCCCTCGAGTCCCCGCGGCTCCTTCCACTCGTTGAAGTTGAGGTCCTTGAGGCCGCCGGGCACCACCACGGTGTGCCGGCGCCAGCTGCTCTTCTTGCGGCGGGTCTCGGGGGAGTGCGCCCGGCGCAGGCGGACCCCCGTGTCACCGGCGGAGCCCCGCAGGTGCTGCCGGAGCTGCTCCCGCAGCGACGCTCGCCCCGGGGCCCCCCAGCTCTGCTCGTGGCCGCTGGCCGCCCCCGCGGTGTCCCTGGCCAGCTTCCTGCGGGCCAGCGTGTCGCACTGGATCAGGCGGTGCGAGCTGAAGGAGGGGCGGCCCGGGGGGGACTCGTCCTGGTCGCCTGTCCCCCCCCCGGCCCGGCGCGCTCCCTCGCGGCTCTCCGTGTCCGTCTCCATGTGGCTGAGCTCGCTGCGCTCGTCATCCGCCTCCTCGCCGCGGCTCCCGGCCACCGAGCGCGCCTCGGAGCACAGGCTGCGGTCCATGGTGGACAGCGTGGAGTAGCCGGACACGATGGAGCGGGCGTCCGGGGCCGGCTCGGAGCCGCTGCCCGCGGGATCGGCGGAGCATTCCCGCTCCAGCCCGGCCGGGCCGGGAGCCGCCGGCTCGGTGCCGGTGCCGCGGGGGGCTTTGCCGGGTGTCACCGCGGGGCCCTCCCGCTCCTGCGGCCGGCCCGGGCTGTCCCTGCGCTCCGCGTCGTCGTCGGTGCTGCTCCCAACGCCTTCGGCCTCTCTCCTCTTCTTCCTCTTGCGGGCGGCGGCCGAGACGAAGGGGATGGCGAGGAGCTCCCGGTGCGGCGGAGCTTTGCGCGACGGCCACGTGCCCTGGGGGCGCGGGGACAGCGGGGTCAGGGGTGGCGGCGACACGGACAGGCTGAGTGTCCCCGTCCCCGCGTGCCCACCCTGCCAGCCCCAGCCCGGGACCCCGCTCACCTTCGGTTTGGCGGAGCCGCTGCGGGTGGAGCCTGGAAAGCAGAGGGGAGAGCGGGGTTAGAGGGGTCCCAGCGGAGGGAATGTGCTGGGGAGGGGTCTGGGGTCTCTCTGGGGACGCTGCCCCGTTCCCCCAAACCAGGACGGGGACATGCCGGGGCTGTCACACCGGCTGGACATGCCGGGAGGGGCTCCGGTGGTCGCGGGGGGGGGGGGGGGCCCCGGGCTGTGCGGGGGGGGGGGGGGGTCCCTGGCATTGCTCGCCTCACCCAGGGTGAGGAGTGGGGACAAGGGGGGACACACGCAGGCACACACCGCCCGGACACACAGCCGGGACCCCCGCGGTGCGACCCCAACCCTCCCGCCCCACGGGGCACAGAGGGGACAGGGACAGGGCGGGGAGGGAGGGCGGGGGGGTGGCTCCGTGCCACGGCCAGCCTCGGCGCGGGGTGGGCTGTGCCGGAGGGGGCTGGGACAGGCCGGGGGGTTACGGGGTAAAGAGGGGACACAGAGGGGACACAGAGGGGACACAGAGAGGACAGGCAGGCCTGGCTCTGCTGCCGCCGTGTGAAGGACAAGGACAGGACACAGACCCCTCTCCCTCCCCGCATGCCCGGGACGGGGTTAGCAGCGCTGAACACGAGAGAGGGGGAGGCAGAAAGGGGGTGCTGACCCTCCCGGGGCTTTGGGAACCCCGCACCCCCCAATCTGAGCGTTCTGGGACACCCCACACCCATCCCTGCAGCGGGGTGCCACCACAGGCACCGGCCAAGGAGAAGCAGAGTGAGAAGGATTTGGGGCTCCCCTGCCGGTGTTGGGGACCCTGGGGACAGTGCCAGGCAGGACAGCGTCCCCTCCCCTCCCGGTGTCTCCCTGCTCCCCCTCTCTCGTGGTCCCCCCAGGGGTTAGTGCGTGAGCAATGCACCCGGGATCAGACTGTACCCGCTCTAGCTCTCGAGGAGATCCGCTGCAGGAGGAAGAGGAGGAGGAGGAGGAAGAGGACAGCACAGAGAAGTTCAAGGAAAGAAGGTAAGAAATCAGTCCAACGTCAAAGGCTCCCGGCCTCCAGGTGTGGCAGCGCGGGCGCGGGCGGGGGTCCCGCGGGGTGGGCGCTGCCCTGGGGGACAAGGAGTGGGACGGGAGAGAAGGGGGACGGGGCAGGGCGGGCAGGGGGCTCCTCGGGCACCCCCAGGGGCTGTTCCCAGTTTTGGAGAGGAGGGCGCTGGGACGTCCCACTCCAGCACACACAGGTTGTGGGTGGGGGGCACAGAGAGTCGGGAGGGGCACTCTGGGGTGCCAGGAGTGCAGGGGACGATGTCACGGGTGCCACCCCTCACCTGCGGCGTCGCCGGGCGCCGCGGTCCTGCCGATGTTGGGCAGCAGGTACTCGATGTTGGGCACGGACTGAGCCTCCTTCTCATCCACGGGGGTCTGCGGGGGCAAAAAAGGGATCGGGGCGCTGCCAAGAGCCCCCCAGCTCCCAGCTGGGGGTCTGCACCCCCCTGAGCCACTGCGAGACCCCCTGAGCGGGACAGGACTCACCTTCTCACCCTTGTCCTCCTTGTCACTGAAGAACCAGTCTGACTGTGGGGGAGACGGGACAGGGGTCAGGAGCTCCGTCCCCCTTTTTGGGGTGCAGATCCCACCCCCCCTGCCCAGCCAGGGGTGCCACTCACGTGCTGGATGAGGGTCTCCACGATCTTGTAGCGGTCGGGCATGTGCGTCACCATGTCGGTCATGTTGTCCTCGGACGTTCGCACCAGCGTGGGGCCGAACACCAGCGCCAGGTTCCGGGGCTCCATCTGCACCCAGAGCCGGCTCTGAGCTGCAGCCCAGCCCGGGCCGGGGGGCTCCAGGTGGGGCAGGAGATTCCCGGGGTGGGGGGGTCCCTACCTTGTTCTTCTCTGAGTGGTCAGCGATGGTCTTCAGGTGACCCACCAGGAACTTGAGGGTCTCGTAGTAGTGGCCTGGCAGGTCCCGGATCTGTGGGGACGCACGGGGTCACCCCTCTGCCCGCTGTCCCCACCCAAGGGGGCTCCAGGGCAATGTCCCCACCCCAGCCCCTGTCCCGTGTCCCTACCAGCTTCCTCAGCGTCCTCATCCTCTCGCTGGCATCTTCGATGCGGTTGGCTTCGATAAAGTCGTTGTATTTATCTGAAAGTGGGACACGGGGGTGTCACAGCAGGGTGGAGGGGACAGGCCACCACCCCCCCGAGTCAGGGACCCCCGGGTGAACCCACTGGAGATACTGGGGAAGGGTCTCAGTGCTGGTCCCACTGCAGGGCAAGGAGGGACAAGGACAAGCGGCCTTGGTGACAGGGGGCCTGCATTGTCCCCACGCCATGGGTGGTTGTGTCACTGGGTCTGGGGGCCTGTCCCCAGCACAGGGGGATGGGGTTTGGGGCTCTGCTGGCCCCGGGGGACAGGGACTCACCGTCGGTGAAGAGGGGCTCGGGCAGCTTTCGGAAGAAGGATTTCAGGAGGCTGCTGATGACGTTCAGGTCCTGCCACCGCTGCGGGGGACAGAAGAGGCTGCTCAGAGGGACAACCAGGGACACCCAGGGGACAGCATGAAGTCCCCAAACCAGGGACAGCCCCGGCCACAGGCACGGAAGGTCCCGAGCCACCGCAGCCCTGGCGAGACGCGAGGGGACAGAAGTGTCCCCAGGATGTCACCGACAGTGCTGGCAGCGACCGCCAGGCGGCGCCACCACTCCGGGGGACGGAAACGGGAATGGAGGGGACAGGGATGGAGGGGACAGTGGGGACAATAGGGACAGGGATGGTGGGGACAATGGGGACAGGGATGGAGGGGACATTGGGGACAGGGATGGAGGGGACAGGGATGGAGGGGACAGTGGGGACAGGGATGGTGGGGACAATAGGGACAGGGATGGAGGGGACAGTGGGGACAGGGATGGAGGGGACAGTGGGGACAATAGGGACAGGGATGGTGGGGACAATGGGGACAGGGATGGAGGGGACAGTGGGGACAGTGGGGACAGTGGGGACAGTGGGGACAGGGATGGTGGGGACAATAGGGACAGGGATGGAGGGGACAGTGGGGACAGTGGGGACAGTGGGGACAGTGGGGACAGGGATGGTGGGGACAATAGGGACAGGGATGGAGGGGACAATGGGGACAGGGATGGAGGGGACAGTGGGGACAGGGATAATGGGACAGGAACAATGGGACAGGGATGATGATGGGGACAGAGATAACAGGGACAAGGATGAAGGGACAGGAATGATGGGGACAGGGATAACAGGGACAGGGACAATGGGACAGGGATAACAGGAACAGGGATGATGATGGAGACAGGGATGACAATGATGGGACTGTGATAATGGGGACAAGGATGACAGGACAGGGGTGATGACAGGAACACGGATGATAACAAGGACTGGGACGGTGACGGGCACAGGGATGATGATGGGGACAGGGGTGATGACACAGACCAGGAGAACATTCCAGAGGCATGATAGGGATGGGGAGCAGGATGGGGCCAGCCATGGGGACAGTCCCCTGCCCTGCCCTCACCTCGTCCTGCAGGTTGATCTCGGTGGCTCCCTTGTTGAGCTGCTCCTGCAGGCTGGACACCACGGCGTTGTTGCCGGGCACGCGGTAGATGCCCATGTACTCCAGCCCCCGGTCCTCCACCACCTTGCAGCACGCTTCCACGATCAGGGGCACGTTCTGCAGGGACAGGGACGGGCTCAGGGCGTGCCAGGCCTGTGCAGAGTCCCCGAGGGCTGGCGGCGGTGGCACAGCCCTACCTTGTTGTCCGGGGCAGGCTGACAATCCTCCAGCCTCACGCCGAAAGCGCGCGGGGCAGATTTCTTGTTCTTCTTCATGATGTTGATGCCCCACGGGGCTTTTTGGGAGCTGCTTTCATCTGGGGCGGGCGGAAAAACCCACAGGATGACTTGGGGTAAATGGGAAGGGCAGCCCTACAGGGATAAGCACCACAGCTGCCCCAGAAGCAGCCCGGGTTTGCTGTTCTGGGGTGTCCCACGTACCTTTTGTGCCAGCTGCGTCCTGCCGGGGGGACCGGGGCGCGCTGGTTCCCGTCTGCTTCAGGAACTCGGCTCGGATCCCCAGCCCACGAGGGCCCTTGGGCGACGAGTCGGGCTTGGTGCCCGCAGGGCTGCAGGGAGAGCGGGGAGGGCTCAGGTGGGGCACGGCCAGGGCCACCAGCCTGGCACAAAACCTCCCAGTGAGCACTGCCAGCGCCACTCCCAGCCTTCCCGGCACCCTGCGGAGAGCCTGGGGAGCGCCGGGCTGCTCCAGCCCTGGTTACAAGTGCCAGGTGCCACTCTGGCTGACCCCAGGCCACGCTCTTCCATCACTGCCCCATCCAGGGAGCCGCCGGCTTTGCTCCGTCACCGTCACCCCAGGGTGACCAGCGCCCCGGGGTCTCGGTGCCCACCACCCCGGTCCGTACCTCACTTTCCGGTAGTCGTTTAACTTCTTGCTGATTAGGGCTTGGCTGGCAAAACCGGGGTCCTGGGGAGGCAGAGAGAAGAGGGGAAGGGAGAGCTTGAGCAGCGCGTCCACCGGACACCCTCGGGCAAGTCCACGCTCTGCTGGGCGCCGGGCGGGGCTGGGTGGCACCAGGCAGGGGCAGCAGCAGGTCCCCGCTGCCCGGGACAGCCCCGCTGCTGTCCATCGCTCCAGGCCTCGGAGCGGGGTCCGAGCTGGACACAGGTGTGTCCTTCCACAGCACGCACATCTCCTCCGACCCGCGCCGCTGCGCCGCGCAGCCTCCGCGGGCACCGAGCCATCCCCGCAGCGCCGCAGCGCCGGGTTTGCCCAGAAAACTGCAGGTGTTCCAGCCCTGGAGCACCGGTTCTGACCCAGCAGCACTGTCCAGTTCTAACCCAGCAGCACTGTCCAGCTCTGACCCAGCAGTGCCATCCAGTTCTGACCCAGCAGCACTGTCCGGTTCTGACCCGGCAGCACTGTCCAGTTCTAACCCAGCAGCACTGTCCGGTTCTGACCCAGCAGCACTGTCCGGTTCTGACCCAGCAGCACTCTCTGGTTCTGACCCAGCAGCACCGTCCGGTTCTGACCCGGCAGCACCGTCCGGTTCTGACCCAGCAGCACCATCCAGCTCTGACCCAGCAGCACCGTCCGGTTCTGACCCGGCAGCACTCTCTGGTTCCAACCTGGCAGCACCACCCGGTTCCAACCTGGCAGCACCATCCAGTTCCAACCTGGCAGCACCATCCAGTTCCAACCTCCAGCTCCAGCACCATCTGGTTCCAACCTGGCAGCACCATCTGGTTCTGACCCAGCAGCAGCATCCCCGCCGAGCCCCCTGTGCCCTCTGGCACAGAGCCGTGCCACAGACAGCCAGAGACCGCGCCGAGCTCAACGCGCCCTCCAGGGCCGGAGCCTGCCACAAGCCCGGCCTGACCACTGCCACCAAACCGAGCCACTGAGCCACCGAGCCACCGTGGCACTGCAGCCAGCCCGGCGCTGGCACGGCCATCCCGCCGATCCACCGCTGCAGCCCAGAGCGGCCCCGGGGCGGCTCTGCCCATCTCACACCCGAGAGACCTCGCACAGCCACGGCTGCCCAGGGAGGGCTCAGCCTCGGCAGCACCACACGGGCACCGTGCCCCTCTCTCCATGAACACAGCCAACATCAAACCAGGCAGGGACAGGCCACACCATGGCAGGGACAGGCCACACCACAGCAGGGACAGGCCACACCACGGCAGGGACAGGCCACACCACGGCAGGGACAGGCCACACCACGGCAGAGACAGGCCACACCATGGCAGAACCACATCAAACCACGGCAGAGCCACACTGCACCACGGCAGGGACAGGCCACACCCTGGCACAGCCACGTCAAACCACGGCAGAACCACGTCAAACCATGGCACAGCCACATCGCACTGTAACAGGAACACATCACACTATGGCACCGTGCACGACGGAACAGCCACGTCGCACCTCACCAAAGCCAGGACACGCCCTGGCGCAGCCACAGCAGACCTCGGCAGAGCCACGCAGGCTCCTCTGCCAGCGCACAACCAAACACCGACACGGCGGATCCGGCACCGGCACCGGCCCCGCCTGCAGAGCCACGGCCCCTCTGCCGAGCGTCCCACGCACCCTGCCCCGGCCGAGGCCGCGGGGCCACGCTCTTCTTGGGAGCCACGAGCCCCCGCGCACCCCTGGGAGCACGGCACGGGCCTGGCCGTGGCCTGGGGAAGCAGCACAAGGCAAAGAGCCGGAGAGAGCCGAGGCGGTTAGTGCCGGGAGAGCCAGAGGCAGCCGGGAGCCCCATGTGGCTCTCACCTCGCCCTCAGCCTTGCTGTTCTCCCTGATGACTTTGATCCAGGCCAGCATGTCTTCCCGATCCTCTGCCTGAAAGAGATATTCACAGAAGTCAGCGGTCGTCAGGCGGAAGACGTGCTTCCTCTTGGTCTCGCTGTAGGAGATGTCCACCAGGCACGCTTGGATGCTGATCGGCGGCTCCTCCTCACCTGGGGCCGGGGCGCAGGTCACCGCCTCCCGCCTGTCCTTGCACAGGTACAGCGAGTGCGTGCGCAGCACGGCGAAGACGCGCTTCCACTGCCGGATGCCTCCACCGACCTTCTGCGGGGAGAAGGGACGGAGCGCCGGCCTCAGGAGCGGCCCCCGCGCGGCCGCGGGGGCTCCGGGCTGGGGGTGCCCCCCGCCTACCTTCCCCTTTTTGGTGAGGATCTGCTTGCAGTGGAGCCAGCCCTCCTTCCTCACGGCGCTGAACGGCACGTCCGAGAGGTCGGAGGTCGAGTGTCTTTTGGAACGGGCGTCTTCGGACGTGCCCAGGCTGTCCAGAGACTGCGAGGGGCCGGAGGGAGGTGTTGGGGTGAGGCCATCGGCACCCCCTGCCCCCCCAGGGAACCCCCCCCGTTCCTTTAGGGCAGCCCCCAGCGCGGCGCTCACCCCGTCGGTGAAGAAGCTCCTCAGCATGCGGAGGCTGGGGACCCGGCTGGGCATCCTCCTGGGGGGAGAGCAGCCCCCGTCAGCGGGAGGGGGTGGGAGTAGGGGGCTTTGGGACAGGGAAGGGGCTCCGGCCCTACCTTAGGACCTTCCCCTCGTCCCGAAATGCGTTCAGACCGTCGTCGCAGGACTTGGAGCGCTCGGTGGTGATGGCCAGCAGGTAGGAGGAGCGGCGGCCGGCCTTGATGCTGCCTGCGGTGGGGAGGGGGCAAACCCGGCCTGCTCAGCTCCGGGCAGGGCTCTGGGGCGGGGGGCTGCTCCCCTCTGACACTCCCAGGGCGGTTCCCCCTCCCCAGCACTTACTGCAGTCCTGGGAGTAGTGCCGGGACAGGGCGAAGGCGAAGGTGGGCGACGCGGGGCTGGTGGCCATGGCGGGCGCCGAGTTCATGGCGCTGGACACCACCGAGGAGGCCGGGACGTGCTTGGCCTTCAGGTCGATGCTGGGGCTGGTGGGTTCGTCTGTGAGGGGGGTGGGCAGTGTTGGAGGGGGTCTGGGGCAGGGGAAGGCCCCGCTGGGACCCTCCAGCATTTCTGAGGATGGTGGGTGTGGTGTCAGGGCTGGGCTGGGGACACGCTGCCACCCCCAGGAGCTGATGGGGCACCCAGACCCTCACCCACAGCAACCCTGAGACCCCCACCCCCGCTCCATCCCCTCCCCATCCCATCCAGTGACAGGGCAGAGCTGGGCTTCCCAAACCCAGCTGGGTCTGGGCAGGGAGCTCCCAGGTGAGACAGGGACAGGGACAGGGACAGCCCTGTCCCCACCTCGGAGCGGGGCAGGAGCGTGCAGGGCTCCAGTTCACACCAGTAAGGGGCACCAGCATCTGGGCAGGGGGCACAGGGCAAGAGGAAAGGGTGAGGGTGCTGCAACCCAAACTGTGGCACCCCATCACCAACCCTGGGCCTGCTTGGGGACAGAAAATCCAGAGGGGTGCAGGGCACTGTGGGGTGTGGGGTGTGGGCTATTGTGGGGTGCGGGGCACTGTGGGGTGCAGGGCACTGTGGGGTGTGGGGTGTGGGGCACTGTGGGGTGCAGGGCACTGTGGGGTGTGGGATATTGTGGGGTGCAGGGCACTGTGGGGTGCAGGACACTGTGGGGTGCAGGGCACTGTGGGGTGTGGGGCACTGTGGGGTGTGGGATATTGTGGGGTGCAGGACACTGTGGGGTGCCAGGCATTGCAGGCGCTGCTGGCCCTTCCCACCTCCAGGCTGGCCACAGATGGATGCTCTGGACTCCTGACCCCCAGACGTGCCCTCCCTGGCACGGGACCTCCCAAATCCCTTCCCGGAGGTGACCAGCGAGGCCCCCGCACTCACCGATGAAGGGGATGGACGCCAGCGAGTCCTCGGGGGCCGCCAAGGGAGCCACTCGCCGGCCCGGCCGCTCGTTCCCCGGCCTGTCCCCTCTGCCCGCGGCCCCCGCGGGGTCACAAATGTCCTTCTCCTTCACCCCCTCGGGGAACACAAAGTTCATCTGCCGCAGCGGCGCGGGCACCTTGCGGCCCGTGGGCGGCTTCTGCCGCAGCACCACCTCCTCCCTGCGCTCCTCCGGCTGCTCGGACACGCGGCCGCCCTCGGGCCGCGGCTCCCGGGGCGCGCTGGGCACGGCC